CAGTGTCAGAATAGATACTCAACGATGACGTCGGATGGTGGCGGCATTACGTTGTAAATAGAGAACAATCAGAATTTATTGATCACTATAATCCAAACCAGTGCGTCGGTGGTTCAGTGGTAGATTGTCAACCATCTACTCACGCGGTCGATATTAGGTAATTTGACTAGCACGTTTATTCAGTGAAGGCGAATTTCGAGAATTATTTCATTATTTTTTTAATTATTTTGATTACAGCTTGATACCACACCGTATTTTCAGTACAAGTATGGTATTTTCAGCATGGATATCGGTAGCCCAAATTTTGCAGGCCGACTATAGATATCGGGTGTGCGTCGGCAGGGGATCGAACCCCGGACCATGTGCATGGTCGGCGAGAGACCTAACCACTGTGCCACCGACGCACAAACGTTATCCACTAGACCACTTGGGCTCAACAGTCCGCTCCGTCCTCCTTTACGGCTGTGAGACCTGGCCATTAAGAGCGGAAGATATGAAAAGATTAGCTGTCTGCGTTCTATCTCCCATGTGAAGTGGTATAATAAGGTGAGCAATATTGAGGTTAGGCGTCGAGTGCTAGGTAAGGAGGGGAAATCAGTCGACGAGGCTGTGAAATTACTTCGACTGAGATGGTTAGGACATGTGTTACGTATGCCTAGTCATCGCCTTCCTCGATGGGCAATGTTAGCTGATATAGGGCCAGGGTGAAAAAGAGCTAGCGGCGGTCAAGCCAAAACATGGTACCAGTCAATGAAATCTACAACAGTTAGTCTAAGTCACGTAGGAAGGTGTAGACTAGCTTCCTGGTTGGGGTCCTCGGGACGGTAAAAACCAATGGTTGGAAACAATTGGTGACATGGCTCAAAGTCGTTCTCAATGGCTGGCACAGATGCATCCACTCCTTGTGACTTATGATTTCCACTTAAACTGTTTTGTTCTTCGTTATTACTGTTCCTTTGTCTCACACCTCTGTTTACTGTCTCTAATATGCATTTCTCCTACTCTCTTCTCTTGCTTTATGTGCTACAAGGAGGGAGTGTGGCGACTTGAACTGGCGCACATATGTGCAAAGTTCTATGTCGAAAACCGACCGACCGACCACCAATACTGAAACTTCGAAGCTCGAGATTGAAGCTCTATGTTCCACTCAGAACGCAAAGGAATGAATTTTTAATACAAACCAGTTACTGACTAGTAAATGTGCTTGGATGGACATCGAATGGCCGGAAAGAATCAGCAACAAGAAACTCTGGGTACGGATCAACCAAGAACGGATTCCACAACAAGTGTGCCAAAGAAAATGGAGATGGATCGCATACATACTGAGAAGACCGTCGGCTAACATCTCACTTCGAGTGGGACCCTCGTGAGGCGTCCGAGAGTGACATGGGGGAGATCATGTGCGGTGGTGATGAGAAACTATGGGCAGTCGTGGAGCCAGTTGAAGAGGGTCACAGAGAATAGAACAAAGAAGTGCGAACGTGCCATTGAAGCCTTGATTTTCTGCTTGGAACCTAAGGGAACAACAATAACAGATATGTTTGGATAGTAACTTTAGAGTCCGAGGTTCAAACAGTCATGGGTACACATTGCTGAAGAGTACCAGACTGGCTGGATTCAGCATAGAACTTGTCAACATAATGCAGCCGTTTGATTTGCCACTTTCCAAATAGCACACAAAGGTAGACAAGAAGATGAGTGAAGAGAATCAATAGAGTTTTGACAAGTATAAGATTGAAACAGAATGAGTAATGGTAGAAAGGAATATGAAGGTTAAAGAGACTGAATACATCTGCGTAAGCCATTGACAACGATTTTGGGCCATGTCACCTATTGTCTCCAGCCATTGATTCTTAGAGTCCCGAGGACCCCAACCCGGAAGTCTGCATCTCCCTATCTGACTCAGTTTAACTGTCAAGGATTTCATGGATTGATGAGGCCATGTTTTTGTTCGGCCACCACTTACTCTCTTCCAACCAACCTGCACCTATATCAGCTAGTAATGCCCGTCGGGGTGGGGGAGGCGATGATTAGGCATGCGCAGCACGTGACCTAGCCATCTCAGTCTATGTAAGTTTATAGCCTCTTCGATTGATTTTCCCTCTTTGCCCAACACTCTACGCCTAACGTCAACATTACTCACCTTATTATGCCATCTAATGTGAGAAAGAGATCGTAGGCATCTACGATCAAAAACAGTCAACCTTTTCATGTCTTCAACTCGTATTGGCCATGTTACAGAGCCATAGAGAAGGACGGAGCGAACTGCTGAGCAGTACACACGTCCCTTGGTTGATAGCCGGATGTCACGCCTACGCCAGAGACGGTGTAAGTTAGCGAAAGCGAAGAGTACCAGACTAGGACAAACATACTTATCTCGTGTTTTAAACTGTTCTCTTATTGATATCAATTCATAGAGAAATATCGCTCATTGATTATCAGATATTATCAACCTGATTTGAACTAAAAATTCAAGTTACCCTTGTGAAATAGTCATCTTTATAACAGTATAGACTGCAAAATGCCTTTTTCGGTAAATACAATTACCGGTTGACTACTCCTCACTCTCTACTATTTACAGTAAAACATAAACACTATTCGTGTTAAAAACGGACAGGAAATACACGTGCGAATGAAATCAGATATTGATGGGGGGGGGGTATTAAATAGGTTGTGTTGCAATCGCCTGTCCACACGTGTTCATTTGTCTATTTGCCTTTATTCACTTGTAATAATCAGACACTATTAAGTGGTCAAACAGCTCGATGCTGTAACCTGAAGGTCCTGGGTTCGATTGCTCGTGAGGTCGTCGAAATGCGCTGCTGAAGAGTCCCAAACTAGAAGGAAGCAGTTTTTCGGTGATCTTTAACTGTAATTAATCTAAATCCCTTCAACATAAGATGTATAATCTAAGTATCAAAAACACTTAAAAGTATGGATGTGCCTATCATCCTAGAAAGATAGCTAGATAGAGAGCAATATAGTATAAGCAGTAATTACCCTGTATCATTCTGATTTGCTACTTATTATACTACTATTATCACTGTTATCCATTTTGCTATTTTTGTTTTGACCTTAGTGGACATGTTTTTATTTTTGAATAAGGCATTTAGAAGACAAATTTCACGAGATGATATCGTTATTTCGTAGTTTCTTTACAACCGCTTTACAACTAACATGGTTAACAATAATAAAATAAAGATAATGACAATTACTCAGTTAAATAAAAAACAAAAGTACATACTGATGACCAATCATATTTCAGTAGGTCAAATAGTCGATGATGGGCGAAGGTTGATGTCTGTTGGTTTTTTGTACACACAGTTTAGGCTGTATGTGACTAATCCACAGTGCTTCTATCATCTTCAATAACCTTGAATTAGAGTTATGTGAAATAATTGTGAAACAGTCATTAATATTGATTTTGTGACCTGACATTAATAAGTGTTTTGCTATGAATGATGCTGGATTTCTATTCAGATTAATCGCATTGGGATTTTCTATATGATTTAGTAACCATTTTGGAACATGTTCTTTTCGATGACATTGGAACATTTTATTAGTTGTACCTATATATGTGTCACTGCAGCTGCAGGTGAACTTGTAGATACAGTTTGAAGTAGAGTCCACAGAATTTCGTCTTTTCATCGTAGGTACAGGGATCGAGTAATTGTGGTGAACTTTATTTTATTATTGTTAACCATGTTAGTTGTACAGCGGTTGTAAAGAAACTACGAAATGACGATATCATCTCGCGCAATTTGTCTTCTAAATGCCTTATTGAAATTTATCCAAGGGACAAACTGTTTTAATGTTTTTATATGTTTGAGTGATCAATCGTCTTATGAGTACTATCCATTTTACACTTCAATTTATTCTTGATTCGATTGGTTCTCAAATGAAGTCATTTTTTTAACTATGAGTGGTAATTTTTGAGGAAAATAAATCTGCAATATGATCTGCACTCATAGTCGTGCCTACAGACACTCATGTGATATCCTGCATGCGTGTCTATAAGTATGTGTGAACTCTGTTTTGTGAACTGAGATAGACAAACGTTTGACCCAATGATGCATGATCAAAATCACTCAGTTTCAACTTAAAATTTATGGTGAAAAGAGAATCGAAAATGATTTATAACAGATGATATGAGAAGAAATAATTATCGCTATTGTTTGTATCTTGCGTTCTGAGAGGAATACAGGACTTTAGGAGGACACCACCAGTGCAATCATTTTTCTGGTATCATTTTCGTCTGGCCTTAATTTCCTCTTGATATAGTCGCCTTCATCTCACTCGAGACCCATGCCCCGATTCTGTCGCTTCTTATTCCGGTTTCACTGAAAAGCCTGCCTGACATGGGATGTCCCTCAGTGATTTTGTAAATTCATCCACTTCATTTCCCTATTCGTTGGGTACTGTTAGAATTCCGCCTTGTTATCCTTTCGCATAGATCATCTAATCTTGAGTACTGAGGGGAGGCAGTTGTTAATGAAACTGTGGAGTTGTCTGGCTTTCATGGTATGCGATTCAAGTTTCTGGACCAGTGAAGTGACATTAATACTAAAAATTTGGGTAATTCGCTACACTTAATAATAACTCAGGTAGGGAAATTCCATCACAAAGAGAGAAGAAGCAACAGGAATTGGTAGTGTTTTGAAGACATATGGAACAAACTTAAATATAACAAAGTCTAATAACAGAAATAAGGAGTGTTACGTAATAAACTGATGTGATTACAGGCACAAATAAAGGGTAAATGAATATGTTCCAGTGAAAATAATTTCTCGTCGCACAGTATAACGTCTACAGTCATCGAATTCAGTTGTCTGGTAGAGTCTCACTCAAAACATTTATACTTTCCTATTTGACTGATATAAAAATTCAGTCACTATAAGGCAAATAAAGAAATTTTGGAATTCTCAATTCTGGATTTTAAAGAAACTCACTTCCACTAAGCGGTAAACTGACGAGGTTAGAAAAACATAAATGCCACTTACTTCCAGGCATAAGACGAGGTTTAGCTCCAAGCACGGCCAAGTTCACATTCGCTTTCCGACCATCAATACATGGATTTGGATCACGAATCGCTAGCAGGGCATCTTCTGTACGAGTCATAGTTACCTGTAAATAAAAATGAAAACAAATTCGCATTATAACATTAGTGCTTGTATACTAATGAAATGAATAAGTAGCTAAGTAACAAGTCAGGTGGTTTAGTTTAGGAAAACTAAAACGGGGATGAATTATGAATAGCACTTATTCAATGGGGTTTAGGAAATCCAAGAGCTCTATGGAATAATTCTCACTAGGCTTAGTGATTTCATCAGCCCTATCTTCACTTCTAAGTTATCGCGTGAATCGTTAGCGTGTCAAAGCTATCACTCCGTTAAATAGCTTGTAGAGAAACCATCTCAATCACATAGTATTCATCACATTCTGATTACAGCTGAATAACTATTGGCAACTAGACAGGAATTGTTAACGCTAAAATTCTAGGTTCCAACCCCTTGATGATATCCACCGATGATTTGACAAACTATCATCAAGGAATAAGTGACATTCTCTTCATTCATAAACAATGTATTAGAACAAAAACGTTTTCTTCATCCCTTACGCTTCAAGCTTCGAAGTTTCAATGACCATGGTGTTGCCGTTTATTTAAGGGATAGGCATGTTAGCCTGATGACCAAACTTCCCTCTTTTTGGGGCTTAGTACCGGTTAGTGAATCAGGTGAAGTTTAAGAATACTTCGGCCGGGAATCGAACACGGATCACGCGTATAGCTAGTGATCATTCTACCACAGAACCATCGGCGCACTTATTTCCTGAGTCTGAATTCTCCTTCTCTAGACGTTTCTAAACTTCGTAAGTTAGTTGACTGGGACCGAAGTGGGTTTCTTGAATCTCTAGAATAAGAAACTAGAACTTTTAGTCTGTACCGACTTGCATGCGTACTGAAGATGCTAGCTGACAGTCACACAACCTTGTGTTTGGAAGGAAACTGATTAACTACATTCATACATACATGCGTTGGTGGTATAGCGGTTAGGACGCTCGCCAACCATGCACATGATCCGGAGTTCGATCCCCAGCCGATGCACTCCTTTACCTCGCTGGGTCAGAAATAATGCTGGTAAAGAGGAAAGGTTGGGCATGAGGCTAGCAACCCCATCCTGTAAAATAAACACTGCTACAGAAACTTCAAGCCATTAGCCTGAAGCCCTATGTTCCACTGGGGAACGTGAAAGAAAAAAAAGAATTCCAAACCTGCAGCGAAATGCTATGGTGATTGCTTCAAGATCTGAAGACTTCAAGTAGAATCAGGCGATGCAGAAATACCGGGGGGAACATCGTAGAAACTACTGCTGTTATTTTCATGACTTCACCAAAAAATGGTAAAGATAAAACTACCCAAAGATCATAAATGATAAATCTGAGAGAGACTGTTGCACAAATAACATGATTAAACTCCCAGAAACTAGTCTCAGTCAGAGTAGATGACGCTTTTTAGGCGTTTACCGCTCATTTCTGACAATATAAATATAAATTTAATTAACAAGACAAGAATAAGGCAACGCCCGATTAGTATAGTTCTAACCAGTTCTACAAAAAAAAACAAGGTAGAAAGCTTACAACATTATGTGATCAACACAATAAAATGTTTTCTATTGTCAGTCGGTCGGTCTGTGTGGTTGTTGATTTTGTCGTCAGTGTTCAAAGCGACACGCGCGCACGCACATACACACAATACGCAAATCAATAAACAACACACATTGAATCAATCATAACAATAATAAATGTTGTTGCTGTTGTTGTTCTACTATTCCAGCAGCATATTCAAGATGAGTTTTATGCAGAAATGCGTTTTCTTTCTCCTGTTAATGATCAACCTTTAAGCGCAGCACAGAAGGAGGCGTTGACGGCACAATCGAGTTAAGTACAATACAACGCAAAAAAGAAACACACAACCAAACTTCAGCAGACAATAGAGGTGATGTGACGAAAAGCACAACACAAAAAGAAAATCGTCTCTTCTCATTGTGTGTATGTATATGTGTGCTGGGTTGTGTGTGTGTGTGTGCGTGCGCATTTTGTGTGTTCCATCTACAGCCTTCTGAGATAGATTTCTGTCTACTTCATAGCATACGGTTTGTTTATTTCACTTTCAGACGGTTTATTTTTCAATAAATACAAAATGTTGTCTAACGATTTATTTTCTGGGAGTATATATATATGTATGAAAATGTCTCCCTAAAGGCTTTCGTTATTCATTGGAAAATCGCTAAAAACCAGGGGTTACTGGTTAATCGTTTCGCTCTAACCTAGGGCTCTTAAATGGAGGGGTTACCAAAGACCTGGACAGATGCTGAACGAAGAAGATTCATATTAGAAGCCTACCGCATTTAGTAATTACATGTATATTCATATATTCATTCCTTTGCCTTCTGAGTGGAACATAGGGGCCTTCATGATTCAGCTTTTGGAAGTTTCATTAGCTGTGATCTTTATTGTACAACGTAAGGTTGGTGGCTGTACACCCAACCCTCCTTCTTCACCTGGCTAACTACCGGTCAAGTAAGGTTTAGTAGTGCATTGGTTGCGAATCAAACCCGGCCCTGCAGAGCTGGTTGGTGATCATCCTTCCATTGGACCATTAAGACAAACGTCATATTAACCAAGAAGATGTTCAGTCAGTTTCCTGTTTAACTAACAGGTACTAGTAAGGAGTAATAATAATAATAATGACAGCTTTATTCCAAACAGTATTTGTGGTACAGGTATGGAATTTTCAGCGTGCATTACATACAATATTGCATCTAATTACCTCATAAATTTCTATAAGATTTTAAAAATAAAAAGCAACAACAACAAGAAGAGAAAAAGATAAATAAAAGAAATAAAAAAGAACAGCATTGCATTCACATATTTAAACAATACACCACAGGATATGAAATATAAAATTAGTGTGTAATAGAATATGTGAGCAATAATATAATAGTAACACAGAAAGGAGAACAAAAGCTAATGGGAACTATTTGTTAGAGTGCCGCAGTAAGTTGATCGTGTCATACCTAACAGTTTTCTCGTCACATAACAGCTGTGCCAGATAAGGTATTGTGGAGTTCTTGTACTTGGTAGTCCTGGCATATAGCCTCCTATAGTTTCTTCTAGTTCTACCAGATGAAGTGCAAGGAGAGAGCTGCGTATAGAGAGGATGTTCGGGGTCTGACAACATAGAATTCGCTAGTTTCTTACATGACATTATATGCCTATCCGCAATGGTGTTAACCAGTTGGTTTAACGATATTCCACTTCCCCTACTAACAGCTTTTAGTGCCCTATGCAGCGAAGCAAAGTCTTTCTTAAGTAGTCCAGGAAAGATTAATGGGGAGCAGTAAAGAGGGATGGGTAGAATACAAGAATTGACAAACTGAGAAAGCAAGAACTGCTTTATACCAGACTGCCTTAACTTCCTAACGTAGAACGTTAAGCGAAACATCTTTCTAGTAACTAGGATGATGTGAGAGGACCAGGAAAGATTGGAGGAAATACTCAGTCCAAGGTACTTGACATTAGATGTAGTTTCAACCTCTATGCCGTCAATGATAGTGGGGCCATGTGAGCTAGCTAGTTACTGTAGGTCACATTTTCGTCTGAAAGTGAAATTTACTACCTGACATTTAGACGGATTCAGCTTAAGACCGTTTGAAGAGGACCACTGACTGACTAATTTCCGAGAAAAAGTTATTTAATTTGGAACAGTCTGACTGAGAGTTGACAGGCAGGGAGACAGAGAGGTTGTCAGCATACTTGAAACTGCTGGATTATCCATGCTCACTGACTAGACATCATCTATCTAACACAGTGCAAATATTGAGATGATTTTGAGTCTCAGAGCGAATACTGTCTCTCAGTGGAATACACATAAAAATCTGTCGCCAAAGTAGGACGACTATCAGTCTACTGGTTCAGCAGCGTACATATATTTTTTGTTAAACTGGCCGTCACAGTTTTATTATTTATTTACAGAATACACAAAATTATCGATCGTGTTTACAAAGCAAAACGCCTGTGAATTGGTAAATAACACACAATCTCCTAACATTAGGACACATAAGTAATTCACATTACATCATGAAGATGTGAATAGGAATAGGCATATAATGAATTCATTGTCAAGCGAACTCTCACAAAAATGATAAGGTCATACCCTTTATGTTTGTTTTTTTTGTTTTATATTTTTGAACCTGGTAGTTTTGAAAGAAAATCAGTTTTTTCTTTTTTTGAACGACTACTGGCTAGTCTACTAGGCTAATTTAAGAAATATACACAAACGCTTGACCTGTATTGTTTATGTGTTGTCTTAATTACCGTGTGTGTGTGTGTGACATTTGACACAAAAATCAATAAATGTAAATGTCTACGGCAGAAGACTAGAAAATGCCTCCAGTAGTGTAGGTAGGATATCGTTTAACAGGGTAAAAGTGTGGGGAAAATAAGAAGTTTTAAGGCCGGCGGGGGGGGGGGTTAGTGTGCAAAAATGGAGCCAAGGAAGGTTTACTTAGACTGTGAAATTTGTATGCTCTTCAGTAATTATCAACTTAACCGATAACAACAAGCATTAATCACAATCAAACGGGAAAATGCGAAGGAAGTTACCGCTTTCACTTAGCTGACCTGAACAACATCGTTTCAACGGATGAAGACGTCAAAGACCTCATTAATCTGGAATCCGGAGGGGGGGGGCGGGGGGAGGAATCTACTGCACTTAGCATAAGAAACAAGAATCAGGTTTTCAATACTACTACTATCAGATCACTACTTCTATGCGGTTCAGAGACATGGTAAGGTTGTCACGAAAAGCACTTTCAGCAGGCCGAAAACTTCCATAGACGAAGCTACCTTTTGTCAATACCGATCGCTGGTCGTAAATGACAGGCGACAAGAAAATCTAGCAAAGAACCAGTTAAGAACATATACTTTAAGAAAAATACCGGAGGAAATCTAGATGAACTGGACATACGCTGACAAGTCATTCAGGTGACATTACATGCCAGGCTCTCAAGCGGAATCTGAATGGGAGAAGGCAACATGGAGGAAGTCTGAGAGTGATACTGAGG